TGGCCGAGTGACGGGGAGCTCACTCCCTGGGCGGGTGAGCCCGGAGTCCGGAGGGGCCGTGCGCCCATGGCCAGCTGAGATCTTTAGGAAAGCGATTCCTCTTTCCAGTGGAGCGCTCCCCCGAGTCTCCCCTGTTTCGGCTGAGCCTCCAGGTTCAACGAAGAGCAGAGCATGGGCGGCACCGCCGAGGCTGGCATCGCTCCCCTCATCGCCACCACCGCCACGGGCAGAATCGCCCAGGCCTCCAGGAACCCAAAGGCGGCCTGTTTCCGAGGCAGAAAGTGCCCCCATTCCAAGTTTGCGCCGACCCTGGGGAGTCTGGGCGCGCTGGCCCGCGCTGTGCCGAGGCGACTGCTCCTCAGAGGAACCTGGGTTGTGGGGCTGGTTGTCCTAAACAATGTGTGGGGGCACCCCAATCCCTGTTCAGGGACTTTCGGGGGGCAGCACTGCAGGGCAGCGCACAACCGAGGTCCTCTCTGGGCTCCTGCGAGGTCCCTTCTGGGGCACTCTGCCCTGGGGGCTCTGAAGGCGGGGGACCTAAGGACCCCACCAGGCAGCTGGACATCCGCTCCTCCCAAAATCTGCAGTCCTCAAAATCGGCGGGATGAGAGGATCTTGCACCGCGTGGGATCTGCGCGGATCTTCCTGGATGGATCTTGCACTTCCAGTTCACTGTGTTGGCACTGGGTCACCACAGTGCCAAGCCACTTCCCAGGGCCCAAACCTGTTCCTACAGCCTGGGGCCTTGCGCTGCTTCGTGACTGCTTCAAAATGCACGGAAATCTAGAACCCAAACTAGAGCAAGTCCCTCGGGATGGGCCATTGTCCTGCCTACTGACCGACCAGCTTCAGTCCAGGCTTCTTCAGAACCTACCCTTTCTCCTTAAGAAAACGAGTACAGCTTCCACCCTGGTTGGAATAAGGGTGAGGAGACTCACCAAGCCCCCCCCCTCAACAGAACGGCCCCCCACTCCTCTCTTCCCCAAAGGAGCTGGCAGCTGCAGTGCTGGGTGCTGTCCTGTTGGGTTGCCCCCCACCCCCACCCCCACCGGCCCCTGCCTCTCTTTCTTTTTCCCTCTACCCTAGCCCCAGCTCCTCTGCCCTCTCCCCCTCCGTATCTTTCTTCCTTTGCCATTATCTCTGAGCCCCCAACCCCTGTGGGAGGGAGAGGGTTAAGATGTTCTGCAAATGCTGCTCGTAAAGTTGCTTGGATACATTAGAAACACATGAATATCCTGAAATACAAAGTGTCTTTAAAACCAACTGAGGAATGTTTATCCTAATGCTGGATGGATGCAGGGAAATGGTGCCAGGGAGCAGTGCTGACAACCTTCTCCCAGTTAAAGTGAGAGCAGGTACATCTCATGTGCTAGTGAAAATCAAACTCCATTAAAACATCGAGCTTCCCTTTGTCCTTTTCTCTTCGAACCCCGAGAGCCCAGGGCCCCTTGGCCCACGCTGGTAAAGAGTCCCCAACCCTTCACCCCCACATCCCCCAAAAACAGCCGAGGCCTCTTTCTTCAGCGGGAGGTTCCAGGACAGCTGAGCCCCACCGGGCACCCGGCTTGCCCTGAGAGGTAGGAAGCCACGCCTGCAGGGTCTGGCAGCTCCGGGAACAAAGGCCAGGCCACTGGGCGGGTGCTGCCTTCCATTTCGCCCCTGCTGCCCGTTCAGGGACTCTTGGGGTAGATCCGGGAACACCAGACAGAACACACCTCCACCCCTGCCACCCTCTTCCTCAAGGGCCACTGCCTTCGGCAGATCCAGTGTAGCTCACAAAGGGATACAATTGTCATGGCCAGGATTCAAGTTGATGGTACCTCTCTGCAATCCCATAGGAATTCCTGAGCATGTAGACCAAACACACACACACACACACACACACACACACCACCACCACCACCACCACCAACAACAACAACAACAACCCACAAAGCAGAGAGAGAGGGTCAGGGCCAACTAGCTGAGCAGGCCAGTGAGCCTTGACCTTGCTGTTGGGAAAAAGAAGAAATGCGCCGGGAGTGCTGTGCTTGCTCCCCAGAGGACACTCCAGGTCTCCGCTGCCCTGCAACCCTTCTTCCCCCACAGCAAGCCAGTGTGGTGGCTGCCTGGAGGGCTCAGAGGCTAAGAAACAGTATTGGGAACCATTAAGAAATCTCTTATGCCCCTTGACAAACGACATGGACAACAGAGAAAGAGATTTTCTTGCTTCCAAGGGAGTAGAAATCCTAGAAATTGAGACCCAAAATTATTCACGGAGCTCATTCACATTTTACAAACCATCCCCACTGGTTGGTGGCTACGACTCAATGTCTAATGGAACTTGCAGACTTTTAAACACAGGGACAGCATGCCAGGACGCCGTTGACTCGCCTGATAGAAAAGTTACTTCATATATATCGAGATCCAAGCCATGAAGGGAATGAGCAGGCTGCCTCCCTCTAAGTAGCCATGTCTCAAAAGGTTTTGAAAGTTGATAGGGAACTAAGAAAAGATTTGAATAACTTGATCACGAAAGATCCACCACAAAGCTCAATAAAGAATTCAGGCCTAAAGTCCTTCCCTGGTGGGGGGGGGGGCTGCCAAGTTTAAGAAGCAAAGCCTAATTTGAAATGCAACCCAAAGCCTCCCCCCAGCGCCGTCCCTCACAGACAAACCTGCTCCGGGGCTCCTCAGTGGACAAGATGAAATCTCGTCTCACCATTTTTGGTGAGAAGGGACCCAGTCGACTCTGGCAGCCTGTGGAGCTGGGGCCCATCCTCTGCGTGCAGGGCTCGCTCCCCAGTGGAGTGGGGAGAGGGACGGGGGGAATGCAGAGCTGGCCTTGGCCGCTGTGTGCACCGGCAGCTGCGCCGCGACCAGAGGTGAGCTGGCACAGACGCCAGCTGGTGGGGGCTTCCCGAGCTGTGTTTTCGTTTTTCCGGGTCTGGCTAGCAAACAGAAGAGGTTTGAAGCTCAGGCCAAGAGCAGGGCGGAGGCAGGGAAGAAGAGTCTATAAACACCGCCCCAAAAACTCCACAAAGGCAGCAAAAATTGCTGGATAATCCAGCAGAGCCAGGGACAAGAATTCCAAAGGAGAAAGGAGTCAAGAATGAGGGGAGATGGGTGGTGGGCCTTTCACAGCTGCCTGGGTCTCCGGGCTTGCATGGCAGTGCTCCTGCTGGCTAGACTGCAACTTTCAACTTGACCTTGGCCTCCAGCCGAGTCTGACCCGTATGTAAAACAGCTCTGAAGTCCTCAGGAACTGGGGCCTTGAACCCTACCCTGCCTCTTTGTCGCCATGAGTTTTACAATGCCACCTGGAGGAAGGAAAGGGGATGAACAGGCCCGGAAAGTAACACAAAAATCAGGTCCCGACAGAGGCCAGTTCTTTAGCCTGCAAATGGACAGTCAGGGAGGAGGTAAACTGGGGGCAAATCAATATTTACCCGGAGCTACTAAAAACGCAGGAGGAAAAGGACACACTGGTTATGTGTATGGTGAGTGCCGGGGTGGGGGCAGGGGGATGAGTCGTAGAAGGTTTTATTGGGCAATGCTTACATTGGTCCCGGCAAACCTGGGGGTCAGAGTCGATAAAAGCCTGAGCCCAGCCTCCTCGGTCAGACCGTGCAGGAAGACCGGGAGCCTTAGAGAGCCGAGGTGGAGGGGCAGGAGTGGGGTTGCAGGGGCCAGGGATATTCCAAGTGCCCTGAGCTTAGCGCTGAGTCTGCAAGCTGGGTCTAGCGGGCAGGTCCTAACCTGGCTGCTCAGCGGTCCACCTGGGCTGGAAGGGGCGGTGTGGAGCGCTCTCCCCAACTCTGACATTCCCGTGGAATACACCCACTTTCGCTTTGAATGCGTGTTCCCCTCCTGGGCATCTGACCAGATCACAGCCTCCACGATTGGAAGTAGAAGTAGTTCCCAAGCGACAGGACCCGCAGAACTCCTCACCCAATCGTGGTCACTGCTTGGCTTCTCCAGCACCAACATCCCACCGTGCTCTCAGGAAGGGTGGCACTCCCCAGACACAAGAGGAAAGGCTTCTCAGGCTGGTTCTTGGATGGAGAAGGACCGGGCACCCTCTGCAGGATAGAAATTGTGTTTTCCCCAGTCCCACTTGGGAGGAAGGTGCAAAGTGGCCCCCAAGAATCCCTTTCTCCTGTCGCAGAACAGAGAGAAATAGGGTGTGCCCAGGTACCTGGAAAGTCAGCTCCTGCTCAGGCTCTGTGAAGCTTCATTAGGCCCCAGAAGCGGGGTTCTTTTGAGTCCCAGCCAGCACCTCACCAGCCTGTTCCTCTTAAAATCCTCCCAGGACTGGCCAGCCCCGCTGGAGGTGGGGAAGCCCTGGAGAACCGTGCCCACCAATCTCGCTCTCCATCTCACAGCCTCTGGGGGAAGGGTTGCTACTGGTGCAGAGTGAGGAGCAGTCTGTATGTGCAAGTGTGAATGGGTGATCAGGGTACACTTCAGTGTGTGTCGGTGTGGGTGTGTGATGGGTCGTTCTAAGCCCGTCGGCCTAAATGCCAGTGTATGAAGTTGCCCCCCAGCACTGAGGACAAGGAAGTAGAGGGAGCTCCTAAATGCAGTCCAGGCTTTCCGAGGGAATGTCCTGGGATCCATGAGCCAGGCGCATCCGAAACCGCCCAGCCACTGTTCCCCTGGAAAGAGAGCCAAATCGGGACGCTATAGAAGAGGAAAGCACTAGTGTCCACGGTGGCGTTTCGCTGCAGACAGACGCGTGGATAGAAACCTGAGAAGAAAACAGCGCCGAGGCCCCAAGGAACACCCTGCCGCCTCACTACTGTACCATCCCCAGGTGCCCGCAGATTTACCTGCCCTGTCCCCATCGCCTCAGGTAGCAACCCAACAGCGCGTTTCTGTCCCCTCCCAGCCTGACGCTGCTCGGAGCCCCACTGGGACCAGGGGAAGGACGGGGAGCGGCGAGGAAGCCGTCCTGCCCTCCCTGCCGCACCGCCCTCTCAGGCCCCTGCCTCTCCCTTGGGTGGAGGGTGTGCGCCGCGCGGCGGGCGCCGGCGCGGGGGACCTCGCGGGCGGCGGCGGACGGCGGGTGCCCAGCACCGAGTCCCGGCCGGAGCCGCCCGCTTTGCATACGCCGTGGGCGGAGCGGGGGGCCGGGCCAATGGGCGGCCGCCTGGCGCGACCCCGCGGGGCGCGATCCGCCCCCCTCGCTCGGGCCCCGGCCCCGCGCGGCGCGCTCTTCACTTCTTGGGGGCTTTTTAAAACAGCGCCACTGGGGTCTCTCCATGCGGCTCGGGCTATGACAGCCTCCGTGCTCCTTCACCCCCGCTGGATCGAGCCCACCGTCATGTTCCTCTACGACAACGGCGGCCTCGTGGCCGACGAGCTCAACAAGAACATGGAAGGGGCGGCGGCGGCGGCGGCGGCAGCGGCGGCGGCGGCGGCCGGGGCTGGGGGCGGGGGCTTCCCCCACCCAGCTGCCGCGGCCGCGGGGGGCAACTTCTCCGTGGCTGCGGCGGCCGCGGCGGCGGCGGCGGCGGCGGCCAACCAGTGCCGCAACTTGATGGCGCACCCGGCGCCCCTGGCGCCCGGGGCCGCGGCCGCGTACAGCAGCGCGCCGGGGGAGGCACCCCCGTCGGCCGCCGCCGCCGCCGCTGCAGCCGCCGCCGCCGCCGCCGCGGCCGCCGCGGCGTCGTCCTCCGGAGGGCCCGGCCCTGCGGGCCCGGCGGGAGCCGAGGCGGCCAAGCAGTGCAGCCCCTGCTCGGCGGCGGCGCAGAGCTCGTCGGGGCCAGCGGCGCTGCCCTACGGCTATTTCGGCAGCGGCTACTACCCGTGCGCCCGCATGGGCCCGCACCCCAACGCCATCAAGTCGTGCGCGCAGCCCGCCTCGGCCGCCGCCGCCGCCTTCGCGGACAAGTATATGGAGACCGCCGGCCCGGCGGCCGAGGAGTTCAGCTCACGCGCTAAGGAGTTCGCCTTCTACCACCAGGGCTACGCGCCCGGGCCTTACCACCACCATCAGCCCGTGCCTGGCTACCTGGATATGCCGGTGGTGCCTGGCCTCGGGGGCCCCGGCGAGTCGCGCCACGAGCCCCTGGGTCTTCCCATGGAAAGCTACCAGCCCTGGGCGCTGCCCAACGGCTGGAACGGCCAAATGTACTGCCCCAAAGAGCAGGCGCAGCCTCCCCACCTCTGGAAGTCCACTCTGCCCGGTAAATGGCGCCCCCCTTCTCAGCTCCGGTCCTCCGGCTCTGCTCCAGCTTCTCCTCCGCTTGCTCCCGGGCCACCCTGGCACCCCTTTGCTGGTTCTTCCTGACCTGCCCTAGCGGCGCCGTACCCCTGGGAGCCCGACCCCACTGACCGGCGATGCCCGTACTGCCCTGGGGTCGGGCTGACTGCTGGCTGTCCTTGGGTGAGGGATGGCTGGGAATAAGCTCGTTGGGACCCTGGTTGGCATCCTGCTCCTTCTGTGCCCCGCCCTCCCTAGCCCTTGACATCGACTTACGGTTGGGAAATTGACCTGGAAACTGTTTACTAAATTGCCCGTATTCATTCTCTCAGAAATGATTTCAGTGTGGAAGCATCAAGTGTTAGGGGTTGGGAAATACAGACAGGAGCTAGGCGTCGAACTGTTGTTGTCCCCTGAGCCCAGAGCCGAGGTGTGGGCCGCTAGGCCGGGCGATCAAGGGATCCCAGAAGGCCTGGCTGAGGTGGGCATGGGATTCCTGGGCAATTTCATTCCAGTGCAGAACTAACCACTCTCCCCCACTGACCCTCCAGATTTGGGCTAAAGGCTGGGTTTTGCGGAGCGTGGCAAAGGGTAGCGGGCGCGGTAAAGCGGCTAGCTCCGATCAAGCTGCCGCCTGCGTCCTGGCCTGCGTCTGATCTCCGTGTAACTTGCCTTCTTCCCTGTCTTCCAGACGTGGTCTCTCATCCCTCAGATGCCAGCTCCTACAGGCGGGGGAGAAAGAAGCGCGTCCCTTACACCAAGGTGCAATTAAAAGAACTTGAGCGGGAATATGCTACAAACAAATTCATTACCAAGGACAAACGGAGGCGTATATCAGCCACCACCAACCTCTCGGAGCGGCAAGTGACGATCTGGTTCCAGAACAGGAGGGTCAAAGAGAAAAAAGTCATCAACAAACTGAAGACCACTAGTTAATGGATTAAAAGCGGAGGAAGAGGGCAACTTGCAGGAACGCTTCACAACTCATTGCTTTACCCAGATAACGATTCTAAAGCTTAATAATAATTGAAGAATGGGAAAGAGAGAGAGAGACACTGGCATTTTGCTTTCCCAGGGGGGATCTCTTTCTCCTTGGTGGAATCGACTATTTTAAAACTTTAAGACATGGTAAAGACTGCCAGTTCTTCCGCCAGCCCCACTGACAAACTCTAGAGTCACACGTCAGCCCCCAAACACGCCATTTCAGATAAGTTACGCTTTTACTGAGATCTTGTAAGTATTTATGTGACCGTTATGTTTTAGGACATTATGGTATAGGGTAAGAATCCAAGCACCGGTGGCAAAAGCAAGAGGCCGCTGTGACCATCTGCGTGTCCTGCGCCACCGCCATCCCCCTTCGCGTGTTGTTAAGTGACTGCTCAGGTAAACCTTAGTGAAAACCCTACCGTTGTGCATTCTGCAAAACAGGTCATGGAGAGCTTTAGACGGGAGAAGGGAAGGTGCTGAAGTAATGATTTGGGGCTGTTTTCTGTGGGGGGGAGACAGGGAGGGAAAGCCCGTCCAAGGATCATTTGTCTTGGTAGTCACTGCAACCCGCTGAGCCTCTGGGGCTGCAAGGGAACCCCAGGCTGGGAAATGTCCTTCTGATAATCACTTTTGTGTGCTTACAGCACGCATATTTCTGTGGCATTTGGACTGTATTTTCTGCCCTGATATCATTTACTCTCCAAAGTATTTGATACAATTTTTAAAAAGTATTCAAAGCATCAGCCCATTCACAGAATTCACTTTCTGTCGGATCTCCAGAGAAGCACCGCCCCAACATGGTGGACTTTGGTTTAAGTACAATTAATTTTTCAAATTTACATTGCTTTTTTCCAATATTTACTAAACATATTGCTGGAGAAATAATTTTCTTCCTTCCTTTCCTTTCTTTTTTTTTCTTTTCTTTCTTTTAGAAAACTCAGAATGGAAATCCATTCCCCTGAAATATTTAGATGTTTACATTCTATATTTTGATCTGTTAAGGGATTCGTATTTTTCCATGTTTATTGTGTTACAAGGCCGCATTAGAAAGTGTAGGAATTCATCTTCACAGCACATTTTTAACCCAGCAGTTACTTCAGCCAGCACATTCATTTTGTTCATGCTCACTATAAAATGCTATCTTGTAAATAAAGACATTAAGCACACTGTGAACATGTATTTGTGCACCTGCTTTCCAAATATTCCTAAAAATAATAATTCAAAAGCCTTAGACCTGTAGATAGTGCTATAGTGGTGTTAATTATGTTAATAAAATAGTCACTGCCATTAAAAGCTGAAAGAAATACTCATTATTTTCCTATGCTGAACGTGCCCTGCACAGAAAGAAAAGAAGCCGGTTTGTTCTACATAAACCAAGGACCATTCTTTTCTCTTATTATTTAGTTGGGCTTTTTTTTCCCTACAAATTTTTTAAGCAAAGGGAGAAATCCCTCACAACTAAAATCCTAAAAATTTATAAAAGTGCTTCAAGAAGGTTAAAATGTCAGGTATTCTGAAAATGAGAAAAAGAAAAAGAAAAGAGGAAGAGATAGTGTAAGTTCTCAGGCTCCCTGTAGAAAATGAAAACCAGTTGTTTAGTATCAGTGATGCCCAGGCTGTCGTATTTTAAAATCTGCTGTTGGATCTGCATGCGTCTGAGAGGGCAGGTTTTGATATTTGTTGAAATGACAGGACTAGGAAAGGCCTTAAACCTTGACCTTGAGAAAAAAAGACAATTTGTGACCTTGACTTTTGACAGCTCATGAATTGGCCTGGGCTGGATTAGTAGATCAAGGGCGCCACCTCGTGTTGACAAGCTCTCTTGTAATTCTTCAGCTTCAAGGGAATCAAAAGGTCTTACTTTCTTGACTCCTTAGAGATTTAGTACTCATTTGTTTGGCTCCAGACGGAGCAAATTTCAATATATGTAATTTATACATGTGCCTGTACATATGTAAATATATATCATATATGTGTATACATATATGCATATCAGTGCTTGTGTGTGCTTGTGTGTGTGTGTATATATATATTTGTAGAATCTGTACAGATATAGTATCATTAATTACTGATGACCTGAGATGTTGTAATTTAAGGTGATTTCCAGAGTTGAGGTACAAAATGTACTTTACTTGATGAAGTGTTGCTCCTCTTCTTTAATGGCCAAGTTCAATTTGTTTTCACAGTGACTCATTCTGCATAAGATATCTGCAGATCTGCTTTAAAGCTGTACCTTCTTGTCACAATCTAAAAGGTGTTCTTAAATAACCAGTCTTTTCTGGCCCTCACCCTCCAAGGGGGTCTACCACCCTAATCAGAGCTGTAGGTGAGTCTATACAGCAAATAAAAAGCTTCAGATGCCTCACTGACTCTAGGGTTCTAGAGTTACATTTCAGAAATTCAAAGAAACCCACCTCTTAAGAGGTTCGTATGGAGAGCTTAAAGATCTCGTGTTTACAAAATGACCATAATATAGACGCAGAAGGAGCGTGATCCGGGACAGCTCAGAGCTGAGTGCGGCTCCTGGGTGGTGTGCAACCTTGCAGTGATGTTTGCAGAAGCTGCCATTTGACTTGGTGAAGATATGTGTACATTTAATATTAATAACCACCATCGAAACTCTGATAATTATTGTTTCTACTATGCTGTGACCCCTAACAACACATCAGGTGCTGTGTTTAGAGTCATAAATAATACATACGTATGTTTATATGTATTTAATATACACACAGGGTAATGTTTTTGTGGGACCCATGCTATGCACATGTGTATTGCAATGTTGGTGGAACCAGGAGCCTTATGATGCAGAATTTTGAAATGAGGTTAATTTTATCTTTATGTTAGAGGAAAGTCATTGCGACCGGAAGAAACGTATTCATCATTTTACGGAAAATAAATAATCGATTGGTTTCAAACCTGATGGAAACCTCTCCAACCCGAAGACATAAAGCTTGTTTCTAGATGGAGAATTACAGAAGGCCTCTCTGAGGCTGTCTCAAAAACAGCACGGCCTTGACATACACTTGTGGAGCGGCCTTGTGACGTGCAACCAAATCTCGCTGCCCCGAGGACTTGACTCCACCGCGGAAACACAGTGGAAACGATGCCTCGGACCCACCTCCCCAGTCTGGTGCCACAACACCCCATTGCCGACTGAGCTGCCATCATTCCAAAGTAACAAACAGCCTTCACCCCAAATGTTTAACGTGGTGGGAAATCCCCTCCAAACTGGATCGCACGGTGTGTTTACGAACGGCTCCAAAGGGGACTCTTCCGTTGATGGAGATATTTTTCTTTAGATGTAAGAACTGTGCTGAGCCTCAGGCCTCGGAAGGAGGCCAACAGCAGCCCTGCGGAGGAATACCGCCCCTTTCACAAGCCATCCTCACTGCAGGAACTCTGGGTAAAGTAGTCAGCTTTTTTTTCCCCCCCCCTGCTCTCTCTTTCTACGGTTTTTGAAACTAATGACAGAAGAGAGTTAAGAGGTTTTTTTTTTTTTAATGACTCCCTCCTTGTTCTAAAATAGTTGTTAATAATGTTGATCTTACCTAACTCCTCTCTTATTTAAAATTCCCGTGGACCTACCAGACAGCCGAAGGGACCATGGGTTATGGTGGCTCCCGAATGCTCCCAAATCATCCAGTCTAACCCTTTAGGGAAAAAGACATCCAGGCGGACGCCGGCCACCATCTAAGAAACATAGTGCCAGATACTGGGATAGAGTTGTTGCATAGCTGATTCGAGTATATTTTTTTTCCTAAAAGGGAAGCTTTTTGAGTAAGATATTGTAAATATGCAAACAACTAGACACCATTTTTCATTTATTAGACTAGCAAAGATGTTAAATCCTGTAATGGCCTGTCATGTTACCGTTAAAAAAATTGTAAATATGGAATTTGGGAGGGAAAAAACCCTATTTTTTTTCCATCTGCTCTTAATTCTGTCAAATTTATTAAGATATTTTAAGTGGATGATTGTAAAATGTCATTACTCTTTATGCTTGATGCAGAGCTGAAGTCATGCATTTAAATTGTGTGTGTTTTTTTAAAAAACAAAAAGAAAAAAATTAAGAAAGAAAGGGGGGAAAACAAAATTTTTTAAAAAATTTAAACCTAATTGAAATATTTTCTTAAAATTCACGGGGCAGCGCATTTCAGCTGAGGGTGATTCTAGGACGTGTGCAGGTAGTGACAGATTTCACCGCGTGATAGTATACGTGGCGCTCACACCTTGCTGAGTGCGTTTGCCGAAGGTGCGGCCTCTCCTGCGCTCCCGGCGCTTTCTGGAAGCTCCAGGGAGAGGAAGGCTGCCCCGGGACCGCTCAGCTTTAGACCCGGTGGGTTCAGAGGCGCCTCTCCGGATCTGCGGACCTCTGCAGAGGAGACGCTGGGGGCGAGCTGATTTATGCGCATCCCTTTAAAGTGGATAGAACGCGTGTCAGCTGCCCAGGACCTGGAGAATCAGAGAAACGTGCAGCGAGTTGCTCACATCCCATGTTTTCATAAGCAAAAAAAAAAAAAAATGTGGCCTTATCCAAGAGGCCTGCTGAGTTTTTTGCCTAGGTTTCAGGAGAGGCACCCAATAATTGAGTTTTCATCTGCTAGGCCGCCGGGCAAATAACAGGTGACTGCATTCTTTATGAAAACACGCTCTTTCTGATCAACTGCTTCCGTCGTCGGGCATCTGCCAGCGTCCACCAAGGCCTAAAAGTTGTTTGCTGTTTTTAATGGGATTTTAAAGAGAAGAACATAGGCGCTGGCACGGAAAACGGCCTCGGTTAGTACAGCTGAGGCTGTGTGTTTCATTTCTGCACGGCCCCGTTGCGCCGCTGAAGGGCCGGATCCACGGGGCACAAGTCGTGCCCGCGGGTGGCTGTGCGGTGGCGGCGCGGAGCATCCCCAGGTGCGGGGGCGTGCGGAGAAGCGCCGCTGCGGACTCCGAGCCTCCGGATGCCGCGCCCTTGGGCGCAGAAGCGAGGCTCAAAACCCTCCACGCCTGTCCGTGAACCCTCGACTCAAAATGGAGGCTCCAACCCCGCGGAGCCCGCCCCGCTCGGGGCTCTCCGCGGCGCACAGACCGCGCTCGAGGCCCTGGACCCCGGGCCTGCGCCCGGCGGACCCGGAGGCACCGGGCACCCGCCCTGGGAGCCTCCCCGCAGCTGCGGGCTGACGTCACTGCCGCCCGAGCGGGCCCCCGCGGGCGTTAGGTGATGAGGACAAGCCGGTTGAAATGAAGGTTTGGTGCGGGTGTCCGCTTCTGCGCCCCGCCCCTCCCTCCCCCGAAGAAGAACCGAGTATTTAATCTCTCCCGGTTTTAATTCTTGGCAGCGTGGAAGGTGGTTTGCAACGGGAAATAAAACTTGACAGGAGCATTTTCTCTAAAAGGGGTTCTGAGACGGGCTGAAAAGAAATCGTGTTTTTCTCTACCAAATACTTCCGTTTTCCGAGCCCCGGGCCAAGCAAGGGGCGGAATGAGATCCAAGGGAGCGGAGCGGAGAGCGAGCCGCAAGCAGGGCCGAGCTGTGGGCCCGAGCGGCCAAGTCCGGTCGCCCGGGCGGCCACGGGTCTCCGCCTGGGCCGGGAGGCAGCCTCGGCCTCACCGGGCCGCGCGCCTCCGAGACGCTCCGCCCGGCGCCGTCCGCAGCCCGAGGCCAGGTCCCCGCGAGCTCACGAAGTTGGCACGGCCAGGGGCCGGGTTGGCACACACAGTAGTGCCTGGTGCTGGCTGAGGGCGGCCGGGGTCAAGCGAGAGAAGAGGGCCCCGGGGGAGGGCCTTAGGCTGTTTGGCTTTATCTCTGAGCCTTTTGGCCCAGGGGAGGTGAAGACGAGAGCCCGAAAAGGAGGTGGCGAGAGCACTGCTGGGTGCTTTGTTCGGGCTGAGGGTCTGCGGACCCTGCACAAAATGGATGGGGAATGGGGGTGAACGGTGCAGCAGGAGAGGATTGTCCGGGCTGCTATTGGGTGGGAGAGCCTGGAGACAGCAGAATCCTCCTCCCTCCAGCTGAGAGAGAGACCTCCCCTCCAGCCGCAAAGGTCAAGTCCTCCACTCCATGGCCGCCTCTGCGGTCAGGGCCGGTGCGCTGCCGCGGCCCAAGGAAGACCGGGCACACAATTGGCCGGCGGCAAGCAGGTTCTGATAGCGTGGGCTTGAGGGCTGGGGGCAGGGGTCCTTTCCCGGTTTCTAACTCCATCGCCCCCAGCCCTGTTGAAGTTCCAGCAGCCACCGATGCAGCCAGTGGTGGCTCAGGCTGTGCCACCATGGAGTCCTGGAAGAGCAGGGTGCAGGAGACTTGAGCCGGTGAGGCCTATCCCCTGTGAGAGGCAGCAACGCCTGCAGGGTGGAGAGACAGATGATGGAGATGGCTGGGCCTGAGTTCTGAGTCCTTAACTGCCATAGAAACAAGGGACCAGGTAGGGCCAACGGGCCACTGGGCCAGGAGTAGGTCGAGGGAGCAAGCACCCTGATGGGAGCCTCTCCTGAGGTGTCTCAGTCCCAGCAGCTCCCTCAGTGCGTGGCAGGCCTTTGGTGAAACCTTTGATGCTCTTCTTCTCCTGCCTAAAGTCTGGGCCAAGAAGTGAGGTGAATTCTTCCAAAGGTAAATATCCGTGATCCCCGGCCCCAAGAATGCCCGCACTGTGTTCCGGAAGGGTGGGGGCCCCTTACCTCTGCCTGTGGCCTGCCGGCCGCAGGTCACCACACCAGGCCCAGCAGTCAACAAATAGCGTAAGCCTGGTTTGCTGCTGAGCTGATGGCTCCAGGTAAATCAAAGATTTTGTCTTTCCCTGTCCCCCCTCCACCCCCCAGAACACAGAAAAGCTGGGCTTTATCCCTAGGGCTGCCTAGTGGGGCATGGCCGAGAGGGGACACTAGGGGCTGGAGAGAGTGCCTGTGGGTGGGTACCATGGCAGAACTGCCTTGCAGGGCATGGGGCAGGGTTGGAATGCACGGGGGCTCATCCTTCTCAAGTCTGGAACATGAGCCACGAGTTGTGGCTGAGTAGAAAGAGAGGAGGCTGGGGAACTGTCCCTGAGGGCATGGGGGCTTCCTGTGAGCTACAGCTGAGGGTACCCAGGCCCCGGGGCCAGAGCTCCCCTTCTGGTTGGGCTGCCCTCATGTGTCCCCTTTACTGTAGACGTCGGCTAGGGAAAACCCGTCTGGGCCGAAGTTGCAGGGAGAATGGAAGGCAGATGCTGGAAACCAGGGATTTGCCCTTCAAAGTTCCTCCCACCCCATTTGTTCCCCTTCAGTGGGGGGTGATGGGGAAGTGTCTAATGAATACACAACAATAAAAGTAATAGTTCTTCTGAAAGAAAGTAGCCCTTTTTCTCCCACCAGTTTGGAGCCACTAAACTAAATAATAACCAGGTGGTTTGGGTGTCTGAGACCTTCAGTTGGGGCCTATGCCTCACCCCTCAGAGGCCAGGGAGAGAATGTGGACTTCTTCAGATATTGAGGGATCTCTGATGAGTGAGCCTGTGGGTCAGAACCAACCCAAAGTTCAAGTTCAAGACATTACCTGTCCCCAGCTTGTGGACACGTGGGTGTCTTGCCAACCCAACAGGATAAATGAACCCCTGCCTCTACCCAGCAGGGAGAGGAGTCTCTGGATATATCATCTCAGCCTCAAAGCTGCTTCTGAACAGCACTGATCTGCCGACAGACCATTTCCCAGTTTCCTGAGGACAAATGCTAGGTGCCCTGGGCCTTTCCAGACAATCCCTATTCGAGGCTCACCGGGGAGGGAGGGCAGATGTACCTCCAGAACACCTCCCACTGGGAAGGACAGAGCCCTCCGTGGGGGCCTGGCCTCTGAGCAGGGACCAGGGAAGTGTTGTATGGCCGTTTCCACCCTGCGCCCTCCAGCTGGCGGTTGCACCTGTGCGCAGTGTGGTCACACAGTTTTCTGTGTAGCTTTCTAGAAACAGGTGTGACATTTAAGAACAAAGAAAGGCAGGGGCTTGGACCAAGGAGAGGCAAAAAAAAAAAAAAAAGAAAAAAGAAAAAAAATGGTGCCTCAAGTGATCCATAAGGTACATGACCATAGATCTTTGGGAGGGAGTTTATTTATCAAGTGAGCCTGACTCCTCCCAGGCAGCTGCCACCCAGGACTGCTGGGCCTAGAAAAGCAGAAGCTGGAAGAGAGGGTGGAAGTGCTGGGAAGAGAGGGAGGGGGAGAAAAAGGGCACGGTAGGGCCTTGGAATGGAGTATTCAGAAGGGGACAAATCCAGCTCCGATTCCTGGCGGAAGCCTGGACGGAGGAAGAGTCAGGAACCTAACAGGCCCCCTTCTCTGTGCTTGACCACTGGGTGCCCTCCAGTGGCACCTCAGTTCTCGCTCAGCCTATGAGAAGCATCTGCAGAGGCGGGAGGCCGAAGACGGGGAGACTCCGCTGGAAAGAGGCAGGGCAGGAGACAGGCAGGGAGTGGCTGCAGGGAGACAGGACTGGCTAGGGGGGAAATGGGGTGAGCGGGCAGTCTGGTATTGGAATCGCACTACCGACTCGACGCCGAGCACTCAAAGGGTTGCAAGTGCAGGCAGTGGGGGGACCATGAGCCACTACCGGAGCCCGAGCCAGCCCCAAAGAAAGAGGGGTGCACAGCCTCTCCCCAGGGCCCGCTGGGGTCGGGAACATCGGAGTCTGGAGGTGTTCCCTGCCCCCAGCTCTACTCTCCCTTGCTGCTGAGCAGGTGTTAAGCCGCCTATCAAGTGACAGTTCTTTCGGGCTCAGTCTCCCGTCCCTTGAATGACTGTGCTGGAAACATCCCCAAGCACAACAATCCTAGGGAAAGGCCTCACACTGCCCCGGTGCGCACTGACCAGCCAACCCCGGGCACCGCCAACAACCGCCCTCCGGCTGCTGCCCAGACCCATCGGCTGCAAGAAGAAGCGGAGGCGGCAGTGCTGGGCAGAAGCACCTGGACACACTTTATTCCGACAGCCTGCCTAGGAAAGCGCTGGGAGCGCGCGGTCGCAGGAACCAGCCCATCCCTGCCCAGGCGCACTCAGCCCGCTGGAGAAGGGTCCGGAGGTGCTGCAGAACTCCTCTAAGCCCCCGCACCCCCCAACATTAGGGCCTAATCAAACGAAGCCTTGGAAAGGCGAGGTCTGCTTTGCCGAGCAAATCTCCTCGTTAGCCATTTCCGCCTGAAGAGGTTGGCGCGGGCGGGCGCCAGCCGTCTCCGCTCCGGGTGGCCATCTCCAAATGCTGCGCGGGGAGCGATGGGGCCGGCCCTGCGAGGGCTGCCTAGACCTTGAAGTTTGGAAAAACAACAAGAAGAGAAGTTTGGAAAAACAACACGAAGAGATTGAAAGGGCTCCCTCCCTTCTCCGCAGACACGCACGCACCGTCAGTCCGCCGCCACTTCCTGCCTTTGTTTTTCTTCCTCCAAAACATTTTTTGGCCTCTTGCGTTCGCTGCTGTGGGGCTCCGGGTTGACGATAGAAGGAAATGCATGAGGAAGATTGTTTTTCTGGAGATGGCCCCGCGCCGTGGAAATCTTGACAAAGAACAGCTCATGAGAAACCGGTCTCCAGGGCCAATGTCACAGTGTCGCCCGGCTCAGCCGCTTCAAGAAATGCGACTCGGACTTGGACTTCCAGGGTAGCCTCAGTCCCCGTCGGGTCGTCCCGAGCCCTGAGCAGGGTGGGCTCCGCTCCGCGGTGGGGCCTCCTGCAAAGCGGAAGAGTCAATTAGGCTCAGAGCAGAGTCAAAAACCAAGGACCCCGGGCTCTGCCTCCCCTGCTTCCCCAAGATTTGGTCTGATCCTCAGAGCTGCGCCCACCCTCACACTCCCTCCCCCAAACATTCACACGGCCAGGGTGTTCTGGGCAACAAGGGCAGGGATGGGCAAAGCTGGGAACAGTGCCACAGCCTTGGGGATCTGAGAGCCCACTCTTGCCCCACCCTGCTGGGGAACTGAAGCACTCACTGCCCTAGGTGTTTTCCCTTCTCCTGGCATCAGAAGCCTGTGCCCTCATCCATCGTCCCAGCTGTGCCCCCACACCCCCCCTCCCAGGCTACAAGGCCCGCCCGGCACCCCACCTTAGTACAGCCTTTTGAATTGCCCTGCCAGCCGCTCCCGAGTGCCTTCCTCTGTCCCAACCTTTCCTCCGGAATTTGCCTTTGTCTCCTGCAGACACCCATGGGATCAGACCTGCTGGCACCCCCTCTGCTCGGTTCGCAAGGACACGGACGACATTGGTTATGCAGAGCAGAGCCCACCGCCATACCAACCTTTCTGTGGGGACCCCTTCTCCCTGGCACCAAGGGGCAACCGATCTAATGAGGAGAGGGGCTGCAGAGCGGCTGGGGGAGGCAGCCCGGCATCCCCCGCTGGCAGGCCACCCCGGCCTGTCTGCTCAGGCACAAGCTGAAGTTGACTGCCAAAAGTGCTATAAAACCCCAGGTCTGTCTAGAACTGTTTTTGGTTCCCCTAGACGCCCCCGGGTTCAATTATAGCCTTAAAAGCCCTAATACAAGTGCAAGAATTTGTTTGCCTTCACCCGGGGGCGGGGCAAGCCCCGCAGTGGTGGCGCCTTTGTTACAGCACAGTCACTGAAGCCCCTCATGCATTCCTTTTGTTTGAGGGTGGGGGGTGGTGGGGACTGGGTGGGCTCTTGGGAGAGAGTTTGGGAGAACCAGAATCAAGCCAGGGAAATGGCTCAAATACTGCTCATTGAAAACCTCTCCTTCCGCCTTTTAATTCTGTCTCCAAAAAAAAAAAAAAGAGAGAGATACTGTGGAGAAATAAATATTTCGCCTTGTTGGGCGCTGCTGGAAATCGAAGTTTGTTTGTTTGTTTTCTTTCCGCTGCAAGGAAATCCCATCACTGCGATTCGCAGCTTTAGGTGGTCTAAAGCTACCCTTCCCCGACAATCTTTCTTCCCACTAGACCCTTTCCTTCACACTGCTGCCGCCCTCTGCACGAGCCACAGTGGACAAATATGTCACGTTAAAGATGCACAAATAATTTCGAGTTCAGCTCTGAGGGATTACAGGGCATGAAAGTTCTTGCAGCAAAACCTGAATAAAGAGTTCATTAAACCAATGTGTTGGAGTAGTGTGATTTGTGATAAGCTACCCTGTGAAGGGGGGGAGTAGGAACCACATAAACATTAATGCTGATAAATTAGTTTACTCCACTGCAGAGTAATTATTCGATATTATTGATATTTACAGCGGGCATTCAAATGCAATGGTGAGCCATCACTTGGAGAAAATACATAATGAGAATATTCCTTTTCCAGTGCAATACATGATTAGATTTGTTATAGAGTCAGTTACAGTCAGCTCAGCAATAAATAAATAAATCGATGTTGACACTTAAATACCAAAGATGTTAGCGTTTATACTCTAAATCTCCCCAAGATATATAAATACCTTCAGCTATTTCCTGGATGGGGAAAGGGAAAAGGTTATTGTTTTTCATTTTCGACTTTGCTTCAGACACACTCAGCTCCTTCCAAGAAGATAGGTGAGGGGCGGCCTCCCGGCTCGGCCCCTCCCTGCCCCCCCGGCTCTGTCTGGCTGCCCCCCGTCTTCTTCTTTCGGTTCCCCCAAACGTTGTTCATTCAGTCTTGCAGGATGGTGAGCATTTTTCACCATCATTTTTTCCCCTTTCCTCTCCCCAAGAAAACTAGACTCCCACTAGTCGCTACGGCCTCCGTCTCTGTATTTATCTCAAAACGAGCCTTTTAAAGGCGGCCCTGCCACCCCAGGGGATGGGAGTTTAGGAAACACATCTCTCTTCCTTGGCATCGTGTTTCTCCTGGGGGAAGAGTAGCCGGAAAGGCGCCGGACCTTCTGCGTTTCTGCCCTGCACATCTCTGGCTCTCGTGTTTTGCAAGGAAGGGAGGAGGCATGTTTACCCCTTTCTCAGCCACGCTCCCTGGCCCTCACCCGCTTCTCACTGCCCCCGCTATCCACACAGCACTGGAGTTCTCCAGAAGCCGGGTGGGTCCCTGAAGGTGCAGCATACCCAGGAGAAGACTCCTCGAATGTCACCGCCTCTAAAGCAGCCCAGGTTCGCCTCTACTGCATGGTTTCCAGAGTCCTCAGCTTCCGAAGACCAGGCGGGCGGGCCGGCGGACCAGTGCGCGGCTGCGCAGCCCCCGCGCCTCGGGCTCTGCGGAGTGACCCCGAACCCCCGCAGGCGGCGGGGAGGAGAGGGTGGGGAGAGGAGGCCGGCCAGGAGGGTGAAGAGGAGGTGGATCCCGGGTAGGACGAAGGCCCTCCGGGACCTGCGGATCCCTGACAAACCGCGGGGGAAGCCGCCTGGTCGTTGGCGATTTGGGGACGGAAGGCACTAAAGCGGTTCGGAAGTGACCGTGAATGCGAGCGTGTAATCAAGTCACCGTGCAAATCGGGCAAGCCCCGAGGCAGGCACATCCGCGGTTGCGAACCCTGGCCCCGAAGAGGGTCCGGCCAGGGTCGGAGGCGGAGGTGGCTCCCAGAGCAAACCTGTGGGAGCGAGACAGCGAAGGAGGAGGCGCGAACGCGATCCTCCAAGTGAATTGACTCCACGACCACGCATGGGCCACGCAGCGAGGAGCTCCCACCCGGACACCCCCCAGCCTGGGGCACCCCTCGCCCGGGGAGTGGTGAGCGGCAGGAGCTGAGCTGTCTCACCGCCCACGGCGCGCCGGAGGGCCAGGACCGTGCCGCTGAGCGCAAGCCGGGCTCACCCCAGCCTCACCGCGCGCGGGGAGGCCCCCCAGCCAACATGAGTTACACCGGCGATTACGTGCTTTCGGTGAGAACACCGAGTGACGATCTGTTGCTTCCCCTGAGGTAGCTACAAAGAAAGAAATCCGGGAGGGAGGGGAGGGGAGGGAAAAAAAAAAAAGAGGAAAGGGGGGAAAAAAGGCCCGGACTAGCTCGCAGCTTGTCAATTTCAACATCGGGTCACATGACCAGCACCTCCCTGCTAAGGATGGGGATAGATTTCCACGTCAGCTTACGTCTCCAAATTTCTACTTCACGGATCCGCTTCAAAGAGGCAGCTGCAGTGGAGAATCATGTTAAGCTCGGCTACTGCGGAGAGCCCAAGGTAGCCCAATGATGGATTTTGATGAGCGTGGTCCCTGCTCCTCTAACATGTATTTGCCAAGTTGTACTTACTACGTCTCGGGTCCAGATTTCTCCAGCCTCCCTTCTTTTCTGCCCCAGACCCCGTCTTCGCGCCCAATGACATACTCCTACTCTTCCAACCTGCCCCAGGTCCAACCCGTGCGCGAAGTGACCTTCAGAGAGTACGCCATTGAGCCCGCCACTAAATGGCACGCCCGCGGCAATCTGGCCCACTGCTACTCCGCGGAGGAGCTCGTGCACAGAGACTGCCTGCAGGCGCCCAGCGCGGCCGGCGTGCCGGGCGACGTGCTGGCCAAGGGCTCGGCCAACGTCTACCACCACCCCACCCCCGCCGTCTCGTCCAATTTCTATAGCACCGTGGGCAGGAACGGCGTCCTGCCTCAGGCGTTCGACCAGTTTTTCGAGACGGCCTACGGCACCGCGGAAAGCCTCGCCTCCTCCGACTACCCCGGGGACAAGAGCGCGGACAAGGGCCCCCCGGCGGCCGCGGCGACCTCCGCAGCGGCGGCGGCGGCGGTGGCGGCAGCGGCGGCGGCGGCGGCAGCGGCCACGGGCACGCCGGCAACTTCAAGTTCGGACGGCGGCGCCGGCGGCTGCCGGGAGGCAGCGGCGGCGGCGGCGGCGGAGGAGAAGGAGCGGCGGCGGCGGCCCGAGAGCAGCAGCAGCCCCGAGTCCTCTTCCGGCCACACTGAGGACAAGGCCGGCGGCTCCAGTACGTATAAAGGCCGGGCCCGGCGCTTTATGGAAGGGGAGTTGGAAACCTAGCGCAGCACCGCTGTTAAATTTTTATATGCTGTTTTATAAGCATATAAGGTTTATGAAGGGCCTTTAGGTTTCCCCCAACAAAACTTTGTTATAAAAGGCGGGATCACGTGGCGAGTGCTGAAATTGGCCGTGAAATACCCACCGGCCAAGGCATGCCTGCAAAAAGACCAAAAAAAAACCACCTCCCTTTTTCCCCTTCTCAGCTCCCAGGCCCGGCGGCAGCTCGACCCTCTCAGGGCCAGCTCGGGGCTGGGGAGCCGGAGGTGGGCGCCTGTAAATTCCCCCCGCAAGGGCTCCAGGAGCCTTTGATAGCGAGGTAATCCGGAGATTTTTATAAAAACCATGTGTTGCGCCGGGTCTCCAGCCCCGGCCGGGATTCAAAGGCATCGCTGTTTAACGATGGCGCTAGAAGCGTGTTTAGCAGATAAAATAGCCCGCTTAGCTCGAGCAATATATTAAAAGAAACAAATTAACCCAAAGTTGGCTATTTTTTTTTCTGTCCAAATGAAGTCATTCTTCCTCCCGCACTGTGGCAATTACTTGCCGCCTCCTGTCCATCCGCATGTTACTCACAATTGTTATTCAATCTGTCAAAATCGGGCTTTTTTTCCTTCATGTCTTGTGGAGTTTTATCCAAAGGGGGAGCGAATGGAGCCTTTCCGCAGCTTTGGGAAACCCCTCTTCCCCCCACCCTATCTAAAAAAGCAGCCTTGCGCTGGGGGAACCAGGGCAGCTGTGTGGCCGGGTGCTCGGAGGAGAAGGCCTGGGGTAGGGGCTTCCGCTGACATCTCCTGACCTCGCAGAAGCCAGGAGGCTGGCCAGGGAGGCCAGAGCTGGTGGCCAGGACTCAGGCTGACAAAAGACTCAGCAGCTGCCCCACATGTTAAGGAGGAGAAAGACTGGGACAGGGGGCTGGGGGGCTGGGGCCGCCTTTACTGCCTCAGGAGCCGGCCGCCCAGGTGCTGGAAGGTGAAATGTCCCCGGGCGACTGTTTGTTTAGTCTGGCCAGGCTGGAGGCAGCCAGCAACCCCCACTTGGCTGCTTAGGAAGCGGGCCTCCCCGGCACAAACCGTCCCTTGCTGCGAGGAGCCCTCCTTTCTGCTCTGGAAGCAGCAGGAGCAGACTCCCTGGGGGCCTGTCTAGGGAGCTGACTTTTATCTGGGGCTGAGCCTCCGCCTGCAGCCTGTCCCCAACCCACAGTAGAAGCCTGAAGGCAGGGGCCTGGAGAGACCCCCGAGGGGGCTTGGGCAGGGCCTTGAGCTCCTGGACCCAGCCCCCTTCCTCCACTCGGGGCTCGGGGATGAATTGCGGTCCCCACACCTGGCTTACTCCCTGCCTCTTCCCCTGCAGGTGGCCAACGCACCCGGAAAAAGCGCTGCCCCTACACCAAGTACCAGATCCGGGAGCTGGAGCGGGAGTTCTTCTTCAGCGTGTACATCAACAAAGAGAAGCGTCTGCAGCTGTCTCGCATGCTCAACCTCACCGACCGTCAAGTCAAAATCTGGTTTCAGAACAGAAGAATGAAGGAAAAAAAAATTAACAGAGACCGGTTACAGTATTACTCGGCCAACCCGCTCCTCTAAAGCTCCAGCCAGTTGGAATTGGGTGGGGGGCTTCGTACACATGAGATTACGTGCAGATTTTGCCCTTGACAAGGTCAAGGCACACAGTGACTTTTGAAGGAAGGAGGTGCGCAAGAGAAGGGGGCTGCTACAGGGAGAGAGCCCCCAAGAAGGCGGCCTGGGACTCCCCGGGGGCACCTGTGGTTAAGATTCCTAACAATCATTGGATTCAGAGAGTTGTGCAGCAACTGGGAAGAATGGCTTGGGACCCCTGGTGGTTCCGTCCTGGAGACTGTGGAGCTTCAGGCTGGGTGTGGTCTCCGTGAGGGACGGGGTCCCCTGCCAGGCCCCGTGGAGATCGACCTCCCAGGACCCTCCACTCGGGGCCTGCCCTCCCCCACCCCCAGGACCCCTGCATCCAGAAACTTTTCAGCCTCCAAACCCAGTTCAATTTGGGGACAGGAGCGGGAGGTCAGGGGAGGGTTCCTAGGTGTCCGGAATGGGGCTGCTTTCCAGAGCCAATGTGAAAGACAACTGGACTACGAGGTGGATATGAGGTGGGAGAGGGCTGCTGATCCCCGAGGAAAAGCAGAACAAAAAAGAAACCTACTATTCCTGGTGGCATTCGTGGCTTTCCACCTCTCGTAGCCACTCACCGCACTGTCTCAGGCCCGAGCTGCTCAGCAGTGGCCTCCTGCAGCCCACCTAGTTCACCCTGTCACTGAGGGGCTGCGTTCTGGTCTGCCACTCAGGCAAGCCTGAAGCCGGGTTGCAGAGTAGACTATTCCCCCAAGGTGGAAGACATCAAACAGCAGAGAGGCTGCGCCCAGGCCGCTGGCCCCTCGATCTCTGCAGGAAATGCCTGTGGAGTGCGGCAGCTTGGCAAGGCCTCTGCCACACTTCACTGAAGCTTGGAGTTGCTCAGGGGAGGGGTGGGCCTGGCCAGCGGTCCTCAGCTATGAGGGGCCCAAGTTCTCCAAAACACCCGGTTCTGGTGCCACCCTCCGCCCTTCAATGCCCCAGAACCGAGCTTGGAAGCTTCCTGCGACCTTCCGAGAGATCAAGAGTGATTTGGAATTATTTTAAAAGATAAATATTATATTATATATATATATATATTTCCCTGCAGAACCAAAGCGAATTTCAAAAGATACACTATAGAGGGGGAGAAGATGATGAAGAAAATATTTAAAGGCTCTATCTGTTTACAGTGTTCCACGGTTAAACTCACTCACTGCTAAGAATATTTGAATGTACGCTTCATACAGGGATGGTGTTCGAAAGACTTGTAAATAAAGGAACCATAACCTATTTTGTTTGATTTTTTTTTTTTTTTACCATTTGTTGATTTCCTTTGGGGCACTGCAGGGGGTGCAGGAAGGGTGTTTAGAATGGCCTTTTTAATTTCTTGTGATATTTTGAAAGCATTGGGGGTTTTCTCTGAGGTAGTTCTGCCCAACAGTGTCAGGGGACCTCAGCTGAGAAAGCCAGGCCTCCGCCCCTGGAATCTTCTCGGCCTCCCTGTGTTCAGAAGCATCTGGTGGCTCTGTTTGTAACAGGGGTGTTGGCCTGTCTTCTGTTCTCACCCACCACGGATGTCCGATGTCGCAGCATGCATACAGGCGATATGGCACAAGGACAATAAAGACTGTGGAAACTTGAGTCTCGGGTCCTGGTGTGACATTTCTCTCCTTGCTCACCTTTTACTGCCAAATGTCTAACCCCATTGCCCCCCTCCCAACACACACTAAGAAAGGGGCAAGTTACCAGGCCCCTGAGAGGGTGGGGAGGTGACTTGGGATTTAATTCCCTTAGGAGCCAGATTTAGGGAGCCAAGGTGACTGGCCAGGTCCTGAGGGGCAATGGGGTTCCAGGAATGGGGTATCTCAGGACTTGGAATATGGGGGTTCATTCTCTGACCCACCCGGCCTTGGGAGAAAACCTTGGGGCTTGAGGTAGCCAGTGAATCTGATCCCAGACTGGGGGTCCTCACCTCAGGACTAGCGGGATGGGAGTGGAACTGCTCCAGAGTGCTCTGGGGGACCCTTCAGCAAGACAGAGACCCATCTGGGTGCACAGACAGGGCAGGCTCTCAGGAGTCTCTAAGGGTGCTTCCTCCCCAGCTCCCAGCTGACGCTGCCTTTTCCCTTTGGGGAAAGAAAGATGCCTGTTTCCTCTTTGTTTCCTGCCTTTGAACTTCTGCCTTAAATTTGGACATCACCCATAACCTTGAGGGGCAGGGCAGAAAGGCCAGAGCTTTTTGTTGCCACCCCACCCCCACCCCACCCCCATCCCACACCACCCTCTCCCTCGCCACCCAGGCAGAGCCAGAGCAGCACAGAGGGCGAAATGGGGAGAAGGGCCCCAGGCCCCAGGCCCCGCTTTGTTTATTTGTTTGTGTGTTTGTCTAACGGGCGCAACTGGGAAAATGGAGCTCAAAGAGGAGTGGGACAGACCCCGGAGCCGAAAGTCTAGGTTGACAGACGCCGAGGTGAACAAGGACTCTCCAGAGAGGCGGGGAGGGGGTGGGCAGGGAAGCCCAAGGTTTAAGGAAAGACTCCCTTTGGGATGGTTAAAGATTAACCAAAGTCTCGCAAGTTGTTGGAGAGAGTCTAGCCAGGAGGACTGTTCCCGAGCGGGCGGCGAGCGGGCGCGGGTTTGATTTCTGAGCCCTATAAAAGCCCATCCTCCGATGGCTGTGACAATGTGGTCGTAAACCCGTCCGGGGCCGGCCAATTTGCATATTTGGAATGCGCCGCTATAAACCCGGCTGGGGTTTTGCAGCAATTTCTTAGATGTAAAAGTGAGATCTCTTTAGCAGCGGGCTGGGCACATTCTCTCCTGTCTCTGCCTGGAGCCCGCTTCCCTCTCCCGGCTCGGGTCGGAGCTCGGGCCGGGTCTAGGCGCTCAGCCGCCACGAGATGGCGCACTTCCGATCAATGTCAAAGCCGCTGGAGAGCCCGGAACCCCAGCGAGATTCTTGGCCTTTGTTCGCTTCTGATACTAAGAGCAGCGCGTTACATTATTTCACTTGTCCCGCTCCCTTTCGTATCCAAAAAGGGGGGTCCACCTTCAAGAAGTGGTTGGTGTTGTAATTTAAAGCAAAGCGCCTTCTCTAGGCCTCGCAGGCGCCGCGGCGCGGAGAAGCCAGCTGTCCCTTGGCAGTGATTTCGGAAATGTGTCAAGGTAAGAGGCTGCAAGTTTAGTCATTTCAACCTGGCTGGGGCGGGAATGAGGAGGTGGCCGTTGTCTGAGCAGGGCTGGGGAAAGCGGCTAGGTTTGTGTGCTCCTGGGTGACGCTGTAGGTGGTCAGACCATCTACCCCCCCCCCCCACCAGTCGCTCCCTAAGGTTGGAAAGGCAAGGCCTAAATGGAAAAGTAGACGATTTTAGCTCCTTGGGCCACCTGAAAACCCAAGGCAATCTTTTGATTTTGTAAAAGTATTCAGAATTGGATGAGCCGGGGATGGGGTGCATCCAAGAGAAAGGGTCCCGGCTGTGCTGGGTTAGGGGACTGTGGTGGGGGCATAAGAAGGAGATGGCGGGACTGGGGGAAGACAACAGTTTCTACTTCAAACAATGAGGTGGACAGCAGCTGTGGTAGTTGGGGAGGCAGACTTCGGAGTGGTCGCTGGTTTCCACCTAGGTGCGGTCTCTGGGTCTGCCTAGCAGCCTGGGAGAAACCTTTGTTCCAAAAAAAAGCCAGTTCAGAAAAGTCGAGTTTGATTTTCCAGGCTTCCAGAGAAGTCTGTATTGCCTATTGGGAATGTACCACTGTAAACCTGGCTGGAATTTTGCAGCAATTTCTTAGATGTAAAAATGAGATCCTCTGCATATTTTGCAAACAGGCAAAAATTGCATTGGTAAATATCTATATATTTTTAAAAACTGGCACAGAGGATAAACAGTGGTCAACCAGTCCCTCCATTAGGGTTGTCACAGGGCAACTTTAAAACAATCATTTCACTTATATTTTGGAGGGCAAATTCCAATTCCCTCTTTTCCAATATTTAAATCTTTATTCCAACATGTTTTCATTGGTTTCTGGAAATGGTTATTTTTTTTCCCCACAAATATACAGTGCATAGGTGAGTGGCGGGGGGAGATCGTAGAGAAAGTCGGTGCTGCCTGTGCGTGTGTACGTACATACGTGTAAATGTGGTCCATCAAAGTCACTAGTCTTTGCTGAGCACAGACTCCCAAGCTCTGCCAGAATGAGGCCCCAAGGAGTGGGCACCCACACAGGGCTGGCCGCACTCTGAGCTGTCCCTAACACCCCAGAGCCACCTCGAGTTGTGTTGCAAAGCCAGAGGCAGTTTATTAAGGACAAAACTAAGAATATTGCAATTGAGGGTGTGTGAGAAAAGGCTCCAACATGTCCCCCATCAGAAGAAAGGACCAGGTCAGCGGTTAGATTCAGAAAATAAAAATTGAAGTCGGTTGTTTAGGGATAGATTGCACCTGATTGATTCAAAGCAACCACATCAAATATCCCTGTAAATAGTACTGTTCTTAAAGATGACTGGGCAAAGAAATGTCATTTACCAAAAAAAAAAAAATTCTAACTCGACAGTGAACCCAGCACTGGTGGAGCACTCCAGGGTTTTGTTAGAGCGCATATGTGGAAGCGGCCGGCCAAAGCCCAGCTCCGTAGCCGGGCTGAGCCCAGGAAACACTGAGCGCGACCTTCAGATGCTGTTTGCTGCCCATCTCAATCTCAGTGACTAGAATTTCTTAATAGAATTTTTTTGTAATAACAGCTTGTTCTTTGTTGAATGCAAGGGCCTTCTCAGGAGGAGGACTCTGCTGTCTGGTGAGCTGCATCGTACTCCTTGCCAAAGGGTTTATTCCACCCGCCTGGTATTCACTTCGGCTCAACAGCCCTGGGGGAGAGAATATTATCACCCAGGTCGAAACAGAAAATATTTACTCTCAAATAAAACGTGGGCCCTGTTGGAGTTCACATAAACCTGCACAGGCCTGGTTGAAGCAAGCAGTAACTGGGAGTTTTAGGTCAAAGGCATCCAGAAGGCAAGAGGGAGATTCAGCAGCTGGGAGGGAGGTCAAAAGGGAGAGAGGCTGAGAAGGCAAATGGGCGAGAGGGAGAGAGCGTATCTAGAAGCCGACTCTTGCTGCAATGGAATCGCTTTTCTTAATCTCTGGCGGGGGCTGGGGGGGACCTCGGGGAAGCTGAGGAGTTCGATAGATGGAATATTCTATTGAGCAAGCTAACACCTCACATCGCTGTTACAGACCCAGACTGGGGAGTGTGGAGCCTGGAGGGGGGGGGGGTCGATTGGGGATGCTGAGAGCTCCGAGACCGACTGCGAGGGTTTCACTTAAGCTTCTGCTACATTGATACCTTCCCATTCCAACCAGGGGCAGCAAGCCAGTGTGCGTCCCAGGCGTACCCTCAGCCTCTCTGCTTGGGCTCTCAGCACAGCAAGCCCAGGTGGGGGGTGGGGCGGGGGTCCTGGGCCAGAGAGGGCTTCCCACACGGGTTTACACAAGGCTTTTTTTTTTTTTAAGTACAAAACAGCACAAACACAACATCTCAATTTGTTTCTTACAAGGAGGGGGTGGAGGGGACGATGCTAGAGAAAAGCCTCCAGCTCTCCCCAAAGGTCGGTAAAGACCCAAGTGCCAATGCCATGATGTTCTGGGAGCTGGCAGCCGCGAGCCTTCTTGTAGCAGATGCAGTACCGAGCTGACTCCTGTGACTTAGATTGGCGCGTGCATGCTCTTGGATCCCATCCAGCCTAGAAGCCCATTTGGCCACCCTACGGGGCCCTGATCAGACCGGGCCTGTGCTGCCTAGAGTGGGGCACCCGGCTTGTCTTACCAAACTGATGGGGCGCTGAATTCCAGGAGAGTCCTGAAACATTCTGGAGGGCCTTCTGGGCTTTGAGGAGTCTGTGAACTTCTTGAAAGCGATAGGTCAACGTGTGGGAATGCACAGATGTGCATTTTTCACAGGTCAGGAGGCAGAACTTGGCCTTAGGTTTTCCAAAAGGGCCTTAACTTCCAAAAGAAGTTAAGAAAGACAGGTTGAGATCATAATCTTGCACTTTATTTTCTTCGCCTCCACCATCTCAAGCACGGTGTCCTGTGGTCACTGGCCTTTCCCAACCTGTGGCCTGGGTAGTTGCTTTCGGCATTTAGTCTGGAGAGACACCAAGTCCTGGCCCACTGGCCTGCTGGGGCTCATGTTCTCCTCAAGAAAACTTCTCTTGTTCTTGTGACCTACTTCCCACTTGGCAGAGCTCTTCTGAGAGGTATGAACAGTGCAGAGGGGCAAAGTCCCCTTCTCAGGTAGTCCTCAGCACTGGGGCCTTTCTCGGCAGCACTGGTGAGCACAGTGGTCCCCGTGAGTTCCACCCTCCTGGCAACACCAGCTGGGGAAGGACCAGACCCATCCAGGGAGGGGTCCTAGGCTGAAGTGCTCTGTAACTTTTCCGTGCTTAAGTTCATGCCAGGTAGGAATTTGTCTTGGCCTCGTGGGCTAGAGCGCCGTGGAGAGCGAAGGGTCCTTTCTGATCTTGTGCACGGACTCCTGACTTGCTTCGGCGGCCCCAAAGCTGCAGCCTCATGACCCCGCTGGATTGCAAGAACTGGCTTTCTCCCGTGCTTTCCTTTGCTCTCACCATCTAGCTCTCCTCGCCCTCTCTTCTTCTCTCCTCCTCTCCCTTTCTTTTATTATCCCCCTTCTCCCCACCCCAGATGTCCGCCAGGTCTGCAAAGTTGGTAACCTCGCTCGGGTAGCAGAAGTGGAAGTGGCTGGGGTGCAGCGCAAGCATTGGCTCGGCCTCCCCGGCTTCTCGCTTTGAGCGGCTGTAGCCGGCGGAGACCGCAACTGCTTGCACCTCAGAAGCCACGGCCCGGCTTCTGTCGCCTGCTCTCCTGTGCGCTCCCCCTGAGTTCTCTCGGGCTCTGCTTCCCCCGCCCCCTCGACTTGGTTCGGTTTATACTGGGAGGAAGAAGGCCGAATTCTGGGAAACCTTTCGGGATGCAAGGGCCTTTCCCCTCCTAGCAGAAGCCTGAGCGGCTGGCGGCCTGGGATCCCCGCGTGCAGCAGCCCCAGTCAAGGCCTCTGCAGGGGCGAGAGCTGGTGGGGCGGGCAGGCCTGGGGCGTCCTGGAGCGCTGCAGCCCGCAGGCCAGGGGCAAGGCCGCGACCTCCTGGGCTCCACTGAATCCGGCCGGAAAAGGTCGAATTTCCTGAGACGCGTATGAGGCCCACACTTGGGGGCTAGCGCCTTAGGCCGGCCATTTCCAGTTGACTTAGAACGCGTCTCTACCGCCGCGGACGAAGGACGCCCCGGCCTCTGAAGGTTCCTATAACTGGGCCAGGAGCCCAGCCCGGCCTCGCAGGGAACGGATTTCCTCACGGCGGGCCTCGTTAAAATGCGCAAAACCGCGGGAGTGAGGGCTGCCCCAGCGCCGGGGTTGGAGGGGAGGAGGGAAGAGGGGTGGGGACGGAGAGGCAGGAGTGTGGCGACACCGGTTCTTGTCGTGGCCTCCAGGAGCGTGCAGGTGCCCAGGCTAAAGGGGGAACTCAAGCAGACTGTGTCAGAGGTGTCTGTGGGCCGCCCCTCCTCCCAGGGTCTCCCCTTCAGGTCTTCACCTCGGGGCGAGCCAACGACCTCGCAGACCCATGTCCCTTTTCCTTCCCTGGAAGGGCTTGGAGCGTGGAGCCCGGCAGGAGGGCCGGCCGTGGGGCGCCCAGACCTGGCGCAGGCCTCAGAGTAGGGGTGGAGGAGTCTTTCAGGCTGCCAGTTGCTTCCATAGCCCCCATTCATACCAGCCCGCCAACGGCCTCGGGCAGGCAAGCCCGGTGAGCACACCAGAGGCCAAGGTCCTACCTAGATGGACAGACTGGCAGGCGAGAGTGTAGGGGGGTGGACAGGACAGGGCATTGCATTTGACGGGGGGATTGTGTGAGATGTGAAAAAGAAGTGGCAATGGTCAGCTTCCAGTTCACTCTGGATTTCTGAGGGCCCTGGTAGCTGGAGGACCAGGTCCGCCACTTTTGCGAGACAGCTCCAGGGCTGAATGGGAAGAGCTGGAGGCCCTGAGAGGACCCCCTAGTGTTTAGAGAACACGGAGGGCTACTGGCAGATTCCAACATAAGGAAGGGAGCACCCAAGGCGGACCTGGGCGCACACCATAAACACCCCACTTGTTAATAGTACGGGGCCCAAAGGACCCTTCAGACAGACCCCGAAAGACGGTTCACGTCCGGGCAGGGACTAGGCAAGCCCACAGGCCAGGCCCCCGATCTCCATCCACATTGGGGCAGCCCCCGCAGTTCCTGGCCTTTGGGCTGATTATCGGGTGTGCGTCTCGAGGGCCATCAATACAGATTACTTATTTATATCAATCGCGGGCTCGGAGGGCGCCCTCCGAGAGCTGCCCCACGCCTACGAAATCAAACTGGGAGTGGTCGCGCAGGAACTCTGGCTCAGGATTGGCTGCAGGCGCCCGCCGCGATGCGGGGGGATTGCTAATCGTATTCAGCATGTTTTGCACAAGAAATGTCAGCCAGAAAGGGCTATCTGCTCCCTTCGCCAAATTATCCCACAACAATGTCATGCTCGGAGAGCCCCGCCGCGAACTCTTTTTTGGTCGACTCGCTCATCAGCTCCGGCAGAGTCGAGGCTGGCGGCGGCGGCGGCGGCGCAGGGGGCGGCGGCGGCTACTTCGCCCACAGCGGGGTCTACCTGCCGCCGGCCGCCGACCTGCCCTACGGGCTGCAGAGCTGCGGGCTCTTCCCGGCTCTGGGAGGCAAGCGTAATGAGGCGGCGTCGCCAGGCGGCAGCGGCGGCGGCGGCGGCGGCGGCGGGGCCCTGGGTCCCGGGGCGCACAACTACGCGCCCGCGCCCATAGACCTATGGCTCGATGCGCCCCGGTCCTGCCGGATGGAGCCGCCCGAGGGGCCGCCGCCACCGCAGCAACCCCAGCAACAGCCGCCGCCGCCCCCGCCGCAGCCACCCCAACCCCCGCCGCAGGCCACTTCGTGCTCTTTCGCGCAGAACATCAAAGAGGAGAGCTCCTACTGCCTCTACGACTCGGCGGACAAATGCCCCAAAGGCTCGGCCGCCGCCGCCGACCTGACCCCCTTCCCGAGGGGCCCGCCGCCCGACGGTTGCGCCCTGGGCACCTCCGGCGGGGTGCCCGTGCCCGGCTACTTCCGCCTCTCCCAGGCCTATGGCACAGCCAAGGGCTACGGCGGCGGCGGCGGCGGCGGGGCGCAGCATCTCGGCGCCGGCCCGTTCCCCTCTCAGCCCCCTGGGCGCGGCTTCGACCCGCCACCGGTGCTCGCCTCCGGCTCGGCGGATGCAGCCCGGAAGGAGCGAGCCCTCGATTCGCCGCCGCCCCCCACGCTGACTTGCGGTGGCGGCGGCGGGGGCTCGCAGGGCGACGAGGAGGCGCACGCGTCGTCCTCGGCCGCCGAGGAGCTCTCCCCGGCCCCTTCCGAGAGCAGCAAAGCCTCGCCCGAGAAGGACTCCCGGGGTAAGCGGGGTGCGCTCAAGGGCCGCAGTCAGGCGGGCAGACAGGCAGGCCGACCCAGAGAAGGGAAAGAGCAGAGAACCAGGAGTGCGCGCAGCAGCCGGCCGGCCTTGGCCCGAGCCGCCGGCAGGCTGTGACCTTGTGAACTTGCTTTTTAATATTTGGGCGTGGGGACGTAGTAAAAATTCATGTCCAGTGTAGCGCCGCACACCAAGACGTCCTCCGCACTGGCCTCAGCTCACCCCGGCTGGGGGCGAGGACGCCGGCGAGCAGCCCCCCTCTCGTGCATGTGCTTCTCCGTGGGCCGGAGCACCCTGAGCCGTGGTCTGGGCCCAGTCTGCGAGGCGCGGCCCACGCGGGGGGAGGGGAGGGAGGGAAAGTGGCTCGCCCGCAGATAGTGTGGATGTTTGTAAGGCATCCAAAATAAGCAGCCGCCAGCACCAATAAATAAGCCCATTAACCGGCGAAGTTCGAGTTTACGATCCCCCATGCTTTTTTTCAAAGTTGCTGGAGGGGCGGGAATCCTGGTTGCGGGTAGAAGAAAAGGCATATCCGGCCCGGACGCCGGGGCCCTGAGCCGAGACCCGAGAGGGACCTTTTTGCTTCCCCTGGAGCCCAGAATCGCCGGGCCTGCACGTCTCGGGCTCTCGAAGAGACCTGACAGCGTCAGGCCCTTGACCCCGAATCAGTTGTTTTGTGCCTTCCCCGTGTCCCAGCGCTGCCCTGCTCCCTCTCCTCATCCGGCCTTGGGCAGTGAGGGGGCCGCGGTGAGACCCAGCCACGCTGCCCACTCCCGTTCGGAGTAAGCACCGCGGCCCCCAGCCCCGGGGGTGCTGCGGGCCATGCTTGTCTGCCTTGGGGCGAGAAGCAAAGAAAAAGGAAGGCGTTAAGTTCAAGGTATAGAGGCCGTCCTTCCGGGGGGCCTTGCATTCTGCAAGCACCTGGCAGCTTGTGCTAAGACAGGTGTTTGGGGAAAAAAGCAGAGGAAAACGTAAATTGGGGGGGGTAGGCGTAGGTGGAAAGTCCGCTGGATTTTGCACAAGCCTCTTGGAGGAACCTGCTTCCTGGACCTGCAAGATAAGGGGAGGGGGGCATACCTCTGTGGATGACTTAGGGCATGCCTCTTGTGGCAGAGGCGGCCCAAATTCACCTCTGTCGTCGGCCCACACAGCCCGGATTTAACCTTCCCTTCCTTATTCCCTTAAACGCTAGGCAATACCAAAGGCGAAAACGCAGCCAACTGGCTCACGGCAAAGAGCGGCCGGAAGAAGCGCTGCCCCTACACGAAGCACCAGACGCTGGAGCTGGAGAAGGAGTTTCTGTTCAACATGTACCTTACTCGAGAGCGGCGCCTAGAGATCAGCCGCAGCGTCCACCTCACGGACAGACAAGTCAAAATCTGGTTTCAGAACCGCAGGATGAAACTGAAGAAAATGAACCGAGAAAACCGGATCCGGGAGCTCACGGCCAACTTTAATTTTTCCTGATGAAGCTCCAGGCAACGCCGTGTTTGTGTTTGTGTTTCTGTTCTTGTTTTGTTTTCCGCTTCCAGAGAGCCGTCCTCCGCCCTCTGCCTCCGGCCTCTGCCCAGGACCCCGCACCTGTGCGGCAGCCCCACTGCTCCCTCCCACCTCGCCGGCCACGTCTGTGCAGGGCTGGTTTGTTCTGGCTTTTTGTTTCTCAGTCTGTTTGCTAGGTGCTGGTTTACTTGTCGTTTTCTGGGGGAAAAAGCCATATCGCCCTAAAATTCTATGTAGATGAATATTGTCCTGAGTGTCAAGGGGTGAACTGGGATAGTTTGCTGTCTCAGTGTCCCACTGCTCGAGATGGCCCCTGTCCTCCTGGGGGAGCTGGTTTCCTGTGGGGGGTTTGGGGGGGGGGGCCGGGAAACCTAGCCGGAAGGCCCAGGACGCCTTGTAGGCGCTGAGGTGTCTGGCCTGAGGTCGGTGGTGCAAGGAGCCGCCACAGGGCTGGCCAGCCTGGAGTGCTGGGCTGTGTTTAATCAGGGGATGCAGGCCCTAGGTTTCCTTCTTTTTCTTTCTTTCTTTCTTTTCTTTCTTTCTTTCTTGGCAGAGAGAAGGGCTTATGGGCATACAGGTTGGCAAAAGGGCTTGATTTTGGCTGATTGGAACATTGAGAGGGTCAGAAAGGTAAAATGTTTCCTTTCTTTGTAAGACATCCCAGCTTTAAAAGAAAAAAAAAAAAAGAATGACCATGACAGGCAAACCCCTCTTCCAGTTTGTGTAAGGTCTTGCATTGTGGGCATCAATTATTTCCCTTCTCTCTGAATTTCCATATCCTCTGGAAAATAGTAGACAAATAATCTGATGTAGTTTAGTTTATAAATGTGGATTTAGTGGATTTTTGTCCTAAAATAATTGTTGCCACTGGTAACACAACAAGCACACCACAATTCTCCCTGTCTTGAGGAGGGTCCCCCCCCTCCACTTTTTTCTTCTTTTTTTCTTCCCAAAAATTCGTGGAAGCCGAGGAGGGCTGGGGCAAGCGGAATAGATTAGAGAAGGGAGACATTTGTCTGGTTTCCTTTATACTGTGAAGTTACATGCATAAAAGGGTCAGACCTGTAGGTGCAGAAAAAGAAAAAAAAACTATAAATGCAAATCTGTATAAATGTCTATTATTATGAAAAAATTGCCAATCTTGTTTTATGCAAATGCATTCTATCGTTATTATAAATGTTAGTTCTAGCTCTATTCTAATCTTAAATCAGAATAAATTAATATTGTAATGCTGCTGTGCGTGGAAAAAAAGACGATGTTTATGTTCTTATAGAAGAATAAAAGCTGTGGAATGAAGCTTTTTAATTTTACCTCTTTTTTTTTTGGACTTCTTATCTTCACCTTCCACTTTATCCCGTCCACCCCTTTTACAACAGGACGACTAGCCCGCTCCCCCTGCAATTACTTGAGGCATCTATTTAAATATTACCTAGACAGTCGTAATTTGTCTGGGCCGTATAGCCCTGGTGCCGTAAGGTTTGTCGGCTTTTGTTCAGTTTTATGACTTGCTAGTATATCTGGATTGTGGCTGTCTTGGACCGGTGGTTTCAGTTGCGAGAGGAGCTTCATAGAGGAAGTCAAACAGGATTTCTTTCGGGAGCCCCGGGGAGACTGGCTATTTTGTGGGTCCCCTGGTCCTCGATGACCCCCAATCTAGGAATCCAGGGAGCAGGCTGAGGCCCACAGCGCCTCGCCAGCGCCCGCGGCAGCGGTTACGTAGTAGATAGCGACCCCGCCGCCTGGACGCCCCCTCCCCCAGCACAGCCTCCCCCACCTGGTCGCCCTCCGCGGGGCCACGCGTTTCCTGCTCGCGGGAGGTGGGGGGGGGGCGGCGGTGGGGGGAGGGGGCGCGGGAGCGCGCGCCCCGGCTGGCTGCCTGGCGGGGAGGGAGAGAGGGGGAGAGCGAGCGGCGAGGAGCGAGCGCGGGAGGCCGAGACCAGACCGGGCGCCGGGCTCGGGGCTGTCCCCGGCGCTTCCGAGTCGCCCGGCGCTGCCGCCGCTCGGCGTCCGCTCGCGGAGCCGCTCGCTTTGGGAAACCGGCAGAACCCGGCTCGTTCTCTCGTCGCGCCTCCTCCCCTTCTTTCTTCCTCTCTCTCCTTTACCTTCCTCCCTCCCTCTCCCAGGTTTACCTTACAGGGGCCGGAGGCTTCTCCGTCCGGCTGCCCTAGCGGCAGCCCGGGTCGCTCGGTGGCGGCGCGGGCGCAGACTGGCGAGGGCCCGCGCCGGGCGCGATCCCCGGGTCCTCCTCTGGCGGCGGCGGCGGGGACGGCGGCGGCGGCGGCGGGCAAGGCAGCCCCGCGCGTGCAGCACCAGAACTGGTCGGTGATTTAGGTAGTTTCCTGTTGTTGGGATCCACCTTTCTCTCGACAGCACGATACTGCCTTCATTACTTCAGTTGAAATCGTCTCCAGGTACCTGTGTGCGCGGGGGCCGGGCCGGGCCGGGCCGGGCCGGGCGGGGCGTCCAGGCTCCGGTCGTGCCAGACCTGCGGTGGCTACCTCGGCCCTTCCCGCGTAGGAGCCTCGCCCCTGCCTCCTTCTCAGCGCTCTGCCAGGCTGCTGGCCTCACCCTCTTCCCCACCTGGCCCCAAGCAGGTACAGTCAGGTTAGCTGCGCCTTAGCGGACGCCGGGGGGCGTGGTAGGAATTCTGGGCCCCGGGCCATTCAAGGTCAGGGGCGCACACTTCCATCCTGGGCCTCCCCTGCTCCTGGCCTGTGGTAGCCAGGGCCGCGCCATTCTCCTGCAAAGCTAGGGCAGCATCACCCCCCAGTCCAGGGTCGGACACAAGGCAAGATCCCTTCGCCAGTGGAGACTCGGGCCAAACCACCGCAGACAGGGCAGACGGGCCGGGATCCTGGCCTTGTCGCTCACCCCTCTCCTCCCTTGCAAGCTGCTTTCTGCTCTCAGGAGTTGCCTGCGACTCTTTTCTTCTTTACTTCCTTCCTTCCCCTTTTTCCTCTACCTTCTTTTATTTACTTCTTCCTTCCTATCTTTCCTTCCCTTTTTAAATTTTTTCTTTTATCTCCGGCTTTCTGTGTCTTTTGTTTCTTTTTCCCTTTCTTATCTCCACCGCCTCTTCTCCCCAGCTCTTCCTTCCGGATGGACCCAGGGCTGGCCCTGGGAGCGCGGGGTGGGAGGTGTCTTATTTTCCTCTGTGGGTTCAAGTAGAGGTGTATTCTGCCGAGGAAGGGCTCACGTGGGGCGTCTGTCGAGGGCTGTGGATCTGGGCCTGGTGTGCCTCCGCGCAGACAAGGCCTCGGTTACGATCACGACCGGATGGCGGCGGCCTTGCGTTCCCGTCAGCAACAGCAGCCTAGGAGATCAGATTAAGGGGAATTCGTGGCGTTTGGGGGTGCCCACAGGGAGGGCAAGGAGGCCCTCGCCAGCCTCATGGGGGGCCTGAGTCTGGGAACTGGGCTGTGAGGCTCAGCCAGGCTCAGTGGAGTCTGGCCGCAGCCACGGAGGGGACTCGGGGAAAGCTTCCTCCGCTCTGCAGGCCCTGCGGGTCTCAGCTCCGGCTTTAACCGCGGGAATGTCGCCCCGCTAGGGCAAAGATTGGCTGCCTGGTCGTCAGCAGGTTCTCTCAGGTTCAGAGGATGTTAGACATGGCACCTGGTGCGGACAACTGCTGGAGAAGGGGACCCTTCCAATGCCAGGCTTTCAAATAATAGAAAAAAAGGAATTCTCAGTTCCAGAACCATTGGGATGCAGACTTGAGTGAGTTCTTGTTCCAAGTTGCAGTCCACCACGGGAAGCCAGTCAGACTCCTCCGGTTATTACTGGGAACTGGAAACTACCTCCCCCAGCCACGCCACACACGCGGGGCGTGCGGGCTGTGTCCATCCCGCTGTGCTGCCTTCCCCAGCCCGGCGCTGGGCACAGGAAGTGTTGTCACCGCTCAGTCCCTGGTTCTGTTATCCGACAGGCTCGCCCAAGTTACCCTCCACTCCTCTCTACCGTTTCCAGGACCTGAGTGTTGGATGTGTTTTTGGAGGCCGTGGTGTTAGGACTCGGAGGCAAAGAGAAGCAGTTTGCAGTCAGACCCATTTATTATTTCTTTATGCCCACACAGTCCCTCTTACTTCCAGCATAAAACACACAGGAAGCCAGGCTCAGCGGCGTCCGAATGATCTCCTCACAAACCTCTGGGCTGTAGGGGGATGATGCTGGTTTTGTGACCCCCACCCCCACATACGCACACTTCTAGACCCCAGTAGGGGCTACTTTGCACTCAGACCCTTAGCAGTAGCTGTCCTATTTGGGGAGGCTAAGGGTATTTAAAGGAAGCCTTTTTATTTAAAAAAAATACTATAGATAATTCGTATCTTATCTAGGTACAAAAAGCAAGGAAGGAAAGAAGGAAGGAAGGAAGGAAGGGAGGGAGGGAGGGAGGGAGGGAGGGAGGGAGGAAGGGAAGGGAGGGAGGGAGGGAGGAAGGGAAGGAAGGAAGGAAGGAAGGAAGGAAGGAAGGAAGGAAGGAAGGAAGGAAGGGGCAGCTAGGCGTGTCCAGCCGTTCACGGACAATTCTAATTAGGAGTGAAGGTTTCCTCCCCGATTGATTTTTCTTAATGAAAATCTCAGAGGCCCAGCAAACTGCCCAGCGTCTGGGACACCTTGGGCTGAGGAGGAGGTGGGGATAACGCAAAGGAATGTACAGAGGAAGGAGAAATATTAGCGGGGGAGAGGACTGAGGTGGCCAGGACCGGCCACGTCGGAGTTCATTGTGTCGGCCACTTCGCTCTTCCAGCGCCGCAGAGAAAGGGGCCCCCGTGGTTCTCTGCTGGCTTCTTAGCCTTGCTGGGAGAGTCTGGCATTTGAGGGTCACCACGCGGTACAGGGATGTGTTAGGGTCTGGGCTGGGGGGGAAGGGGCGGTAACTGGGATTGGGAGGGGGGTGAAGGCAGAAAAGAAGAGGGAAGCACCGGAGGCCGCCCGCCCTGCCGCCAGGGAAGTGGGCTAATGAAAAACACACTCTTGCAGGCAGTGTTCACACGTGAATTTAATTACCCCATTTTTAGGAGTCGCTGCTTTCCGTTTGTATTTGGGGTGGGTTTTTTTTTTTCCTTCCAATTAACAGAGAGGCCTAGACCTTTCCATTTATCCTTGAAAGACTCTAAGGAGTGAGAAACACCCTCCTCAATTTGGCCAAGCTGAGGAATGAGGTTGAAGTCGATGCCCCGTGCCCCTCCCAGTTTTAATTTCTGGCCCTGGACTTGAGCTGTGGCCCCCTCAGCGGGGCCTCCTGACAGCTGAGCGGCCCGGCTGCGTGGGTAACCCAGGCGGCCCCTCCAGGGGCGGTGTCCGGGAAGGAAGGAGACCTGGCGGAGTCGTACTAGGCCCAGAAGCCAGCCGCTCGGGGCGGACCTCCCAGCTACTGAGCGAACGAGTCTCCTAGGTCGAATTCTCTTTTTATTGATGCTGCTTCGTGGTTTTTGTTTTTGGGGTTTGCTTGTTTTTGTTTGTTTGTTTTTTTTTATTTTTGGCAACTGGTCCCGGCAGTGCGACACAGGCTAGCAGAGCTCAGCATTAGGGCCCCGGAGGTCCGAGCCCAGGGCTAGGGCGCCTGCCGTGTCCACTGGGGGGACTGTGATCCCCGCTGGCGCTGAGCAGGGCGCGCTGGGAGCGCGCGTGAGAAGTCGGGGCGGAAGGCGCGTCACAGCCAGGCCCCGAAACCCTGCGCTCTGGGCTGGCTGGCCGGCCGCTCCTCGGTGGGGCGCTCGCTGGAGGCCCCGCGGTAAACGCGGGACCCGTCCCGGCACCCCGCGATCCCACCCAGCAGGGCAGAGTCCGGGCGCCCGCAGGAGGCTGCGTCCTCTCGGCGGCCTGTCCTTCCCCAGCGCGCTCAGGCAGGGGCGGTAGTGGCTCAGTTTGGGACGACTACTGCGTTGAATTTGACTTTTCGCGGCCAGCATGGGGTAAACTCGCATCTCCGGGGACTGTGGGGATTATTTACAGGGAGCCCGCCAACCAAACACAACAGTCTAATTTAACCTTTCCAGGTCCTCGTAAATTTTTACAGCTGGGAGCCACGGCGAGGCAAACGAATCTGTTGGTCGTTCCCAACTTCCCACCAGCCTGTGTGGCTTCTGAAACAATAACTCCTTATGAAATATAAATATAGATTTAAATACAGTAGAGCGAGAATGCGACTTGGCTGCTTTTTTATGGCTTCAATTATTGTCTAATTTTATGTGAGGGGCTCCGCTGGCCGCACTCGCACGCGGGACCCGCGCCTTGCTGATGGCGTGATTAATTGTGATATAAAATAGTCCGCTTAAGAAGTGTGCGTCTGGTGG